ATGACAAACACACAGCTATCATACTCAGTGTTTAAAGCTAAAAGCTTTTCCCCTAAGATCAATAATAAGAGAAGGATGCCCACTCTCACAATTTTTTCAACATACATTGGAAGTCTTAGCTATAGCAATCAGACAAGAAAAAAAATGGTAAGGAAGAAGAAAAACTGTCACTATTTGCAGATGACATGATACTATATATATATATACACACACTATATATACAAAACCCTAAAGATTCCACCAAAAAAACTATTAGAACTAATAAATGAATTCAGTAACATTGCAAAATACCAAGTTAATATACAGAAATCTGTTGTATTTCTATATACTAGTAACAAATTGTCAGAAAGAAATTAAGAAAACAATTCCATCCACAATTGTATCAAAAAGAATAAGATACCTAGGAATAAATTTAACCAAGAATGTGAAAGATGTGTACTCTGAAACTATGACATTGATAAAAGAAATTGAAAACAATGCAAATAAATGGAAAGAGATACATGCTGACGGATGAGAAGAATGAATGTTGTCAAAATGTCCGCAATACCCAAAACAACCTACGGATTCAGTTCAATCTCTATCAAAATACCAATGGCATTTTTCACACACCTGTAACAAATAATCCTAAAATTTATATGGAACCACAGAAGAACAGCTAGAGCAATCTTGAAAAAGAACAAAACTGGAGGTATCACACTCCCTGACTTCAAGCTATACCACAAAGCTATGATAATCAAGACAGTATAGTACTGGCACAAACACAACACATAGATCAAAGTAACAGGACAGCCCAGAAATAAACCTATGCTTATATAGTCATTTAACCTATGACAAAGGAGGCAAGAATACATATAGTGAAAAAAGTCCTCTCCCAAAATAAACAGTGGTGGGAAAACTGGGAAGCTACATGCAAAAGAATGTAATTGGACCACTTTCTTATATATTATATACAAAAATAAACTCAAAATGGATTAAAGACTTAAATGTAAGACCTGAAACCATAAAACTCCTAAAAGAAAAAATGGGCAGTAAAATCTGACATCAGTCCAGCAATAATTTTTTAGATTTGTCTCCTCAAGTAAAGGCAACAAAAGTAAAAATAAACAAAGGGACTTCATCAAACTAAAAAGCTTTGCACAGAGAAAGAAACTATCAACAAAATAAAAAGGCAACCTCCTAAATGGGAGAATATATTTGCAAATGTGATGTGATATCTGATATGAATATCCAAAATATATAAAGGTCTCATACAACTCAGTAGCAAAAAAAAATCCAATTAAAAAATGGGAAGAGGATCTGAATAGATGTTTTTCCAAAGAAAACACACATACAAGTGGCTAATAGGTACAAGATGCTCAACATCACTGATCATCAGGGAAATAAATGCAAATAAAAACCACAATGAGATATCACCTCACTTGTCAGAATGGCTATTATCAAAGAAACAAAAAATAACAATTGTTGCCAAGAATGTGAAGAAAAGGGAACCCTCATGGACTGTTGGTGGGAATATAAATTCGTGTAGCCAGTATAGAAAATAGCATGGAGGACTCCTAAAAAAAATAAAAATACAACTAATATAAAGTCCAGCAATTCCACTTATGCGTATTTATCCAAAAACACTAATTTGAAAAAATATATACAACCCTATGTTCATAGTAGCATTATTTACAATAGCCAAGATATGGAAGCAACCTAACTGTCTATCACAGATGAATGGATAAATAAAACGTACACACACACACAAAAAAATAACATAAAAAAGAATGAAATCTTGCCATTTGAACAACATGGGTAGACCTAGAGGGTATTATGCTAAGTGAAATAAGTCAGACAGAGAAAGACAAATACCATATGATTTCACTAATATGTGGAATGTAAAAAACGAACAAAACAAACAGACTTATAAACACAGAGAACAAACTGGTGGCTGCCAAAGAGGAGGGGTGTTGACAAATGAGCAAAATAGGTGAGGGGAATTAAAAGGTACAAACTTTCAATTATAAAATAAATAAGCCCCCAGAATGTTAAGTACAGCCTGATTATAGTCAATCACTCTGGAGGCAGATGGCAACTAGACTTATCACAGCAGTCATTTTGTAATGTATGTAAATGCTGAATCAAAACTAATATAATATTGTATGCCAACTATTCTTCAATAAAGAAAAAAACAGAATTATTCAGCAAGCTGCCATAATCAAAAACCTGAGAGTTAATTCAATCCAGCAGTACCAGCACCTCCAAAATAATGTTGAATCTATTTCTCTTCATAACAGCTTGCAACTATTACAGTTCTGAGCCATCATTATCTATTGTAAGACTACTGCAAAAGCTTCCTACTTGCCTTCTGTTTTCTATTCTTGCTCCTTCACTAATCCTTTCTCATAACCAAACTGATCTTTTTGAAGATAAATCACATCATGTCACCACTACCTTACTTAAAACCCCTTGATGTCTTCCCTTGCACTTTCCATGGCTTACAAGTCCATGTCTTTCTTCCAACCTTATCACATCCCACATTCCCCTTGATTATAATGTTCCCAGTTACATAACCCCTTTGTGTCAGCTCCTAGATCATTTCCTAGTGCAGAATCTTGGCCCTTGACAGCTGCTTCTACCTAGAGCTTATTTCTGCATCTTCACATGGTTGGCTGCTTCTCATATTTTAGGTCTCAGCTTAAATTACATCTCCTTAGAGAAACTTGCCTAGAGTCCCTTCCTAAAGTAGGTCATCCCTAAGGCAGTCGTCGCTATTTCTTTCATAGTACCATGCAGATTATTTATGTTTTGGCTGTCTGTATACTCCCTCTGTGTAAATTCCTGAGGACAGAAACACCTTGTCCATCTTGCTTTGTTATAGCCTCAGTCTTTGCACAATACCTGACACATAGTAGTTGCCCAATAAATTCTTGAACCACTGAGTAGCAAAAAATTGGAAACAATCAAGATGTCCAACTATAAAGGAACATTTTAAATGCATTATGCGCATTATGCCAGTTTAATGTGATAGAATATTTTGCAACCATTAAAATACTAGTTTTTTAATATTCTGTTCAATGAAAATAACAATGTAAAATAACAGTATGAGAAAATAAATTATGTAAACATTAAAAATATAAGTGCACAAGGATAATGGAATTATTACCACTTCCTTTAAATATTTACCTTTGTTATGTTAAACTATCATTAAACTCAAGGGGAAGAGAAAAACTTCCTATCAGCAAGATTAATAAAAAATGCATAAATCAATATCAAGCTAACTTAAGAATCAATTTCAAAAGAGTGGAATGCTTTAGTATTTTGTTATTAGTCTTGATATATCAAAAGGGAACTGCTACATAAATTTTTGTCCTTTCAAAATCTATTAGGTTTAGAGCTTTAGCAAGAAGAAAAAATTTCATTTCAAGAAGATTTTTACCTCGAAAGGATGAAGGTTCCTGAAGAGCATTACTCGCCAACCTAGCTGGTCCACCAAATACCAAGACAGTAACAGGTGTCACTGCCGAACAACATCGAATATTAGCTATTCTGTGGGCTCTGGTCATTTCATCATAAATAAGCCAATCTGTAGGTAGTGCCTGAATTGCTGCAGCTTGACCATTGGCTGGAGGAATCTATTAGAAAAATAAATCAAAAAGTTGCTTACTGTATTTATCACATAATTTCCTGGCAATACTTACAAAATATAGAAAGTCCCTCAATGAAATAGGTGATGTATAGTAGTACCCAAGCAAAAAATTAAAGCAAGTTATTGCTTAAGTAGTTTGTATAAAAGTCCTCATAGCACATCAACTCTTCCAACACCAAGATTTGATCAAAATTTTGTTTCAATGTTAAATTATATATATAACTAATTAATTTCTTAAAACAGGTTGGTATTTGGAGCATTTTTCATTAATCTTCAACTATCTAAATGATATTAGTTTCATCACAAGGCCTAAGAGCTTTAAAAATGTTTTACCTTTTTGTACTGAGGCTGACTGAGTACTGAAGTGGGATGAAACCGTACTTTCTTCTCCTTTGGCCCTGTCAATACTACATTATCTCTGTCCACGTGGATTAAATTAGGATACATGCCTGCAACCAATGCAGCTTTAACAACAGCCCAGTTCTCAGAATTTGTGTTAACATCTCGAATGTTACCACCACCTCGTGCTCTAACAAAACCTACAAGAGAGGAAAAAATACACACCAACCTTTTCTATTTGTACAAAATATATTTTGAAACATAGTGTTTTTTACAAAAAAACATACAACTCCTAAGTATATGTTCAAATTCCACAATAATTAATAAAATCTCCTCTGTTAAATTCAAAATATAGAAGCAATGTTCTAAGAAAGTTTAGGTTTGCTCAGGCTAAAATAAGTAGAAGATTCATTAGGAACTTCAGGACTTCTTAAAAACTACACAGTCATATTAAGTTCTTCATAGGGCTTTAAAGCAGCTTTAAAGCTATAAAGCTGCTTCAGAAACATACTAAAATCATAGCTGAAAAACTATTTGACTGGTATATGTAACATTTTGCTCATAATAAACATGAACTGTGGAGGTGAAGTCAAGTAAATATGCAGTATTCTTGCTAGAATTTCAAAAGTCCTCCTATATTTCCCCATATTTGAGACTACTCTTAAATGCTCTGGTTCATTCCTTATATGACTTTGGCACTTCAGCTAACTCATATGTAAACATTAAAAATATAAGTGCACAAGGATAATGGAATTATTACCACTTCCTTTAAATATTTACCTTTGTTATGTTAAACTATCATTAAACTCAAGGGGAAGAGAAAAACTTCCTATCAGCAAGATTAATAAAAAATGCATAAATCAATATCAAGCTAACTTAAGAATCAATTTCAAAAGAGTGGAATGCTTTAGTATTTTGTTATTAGTCTTGATATATCAAAAGGGAACTGCTACATAAATTTTTGTCCTTTCAAAATCTATTAGGTTTAGAGCTTTAGCAAGAAGAAAAAATTTCATTTCAAGAAGATTTTTACCTCGAAAGGATGAAGGTTCCTGAAGAGCATTACTCGCCAACCTAGCTGGTCCACCAAATACCAAGACAGTAACAGGTGTCACTGCCGAACAACATCGAATATTAGCTATTCTGTGGGCTCTGGTCATTTCATCATAAATAAGCCAATCTGTAGGTAGTGCCTGAATTGCTGCAGCTTGACCATTGGCTGGAGGAATCTATTAGAAAAATAAATCAAAAAGTTGCTTACTGTATTTATCACATAATTTCCTGGCAATACTTACAAAATATAGAAAGTCCCTCAATGAAATAGGTGATGTATAGTAGTACCCAAGCAAAAAATTAAAGCAAGTTATTGCTTAAGTAGTTTGTATAAAAGTCCTCATAGCACATCAACTCTTCCAACACCAAGATTTGATCAAAATTTTGTTTCAATGTTAAATTATATATATAACTAATTAATTTCTTAAAACAGGTTGGTATTTGGAGCATTTTTCATTAATCTTCAACTATCTAAATGATATTAGTTTCATCACAAGGCCTAAGAGCTTTAAAAATGTTTTACCTTTTTGTACTGAGGCTGACTGAGTACTGAAGTGGGATGAAACCGTACTTTCTTCTCCTTTGGCCCTGTCAATACTACATTATCTCTGTCCACGTGGATTAAATTAGGATACATGCCTGCAACCAATGCAGCTTTAACAACAGCCCAGTTCTCAGAATTTGTGTTAACATCTCGAATGTTACCACCACCTCGTGCTCTAACAAAACCTACAAGAGAGGAAAAAATACACACCAACCTTTTCTATTTGTACAAAATATATTTTGAAACATAGTGTTTTTTACAAAAAAACATACAACTCCTAAGTATATGTTCAAATTCCACAATAATTAATAAAATCTCCTCTGTTAAATTCAAAATATAGAAGCAATGTTCTAAGAAAGTTTAGGTTTGCTCAGGCTAAAATAAGTAGAAGATTCATTAGGAACTTCAGGACTTCTTAAAAACTACACAGTCATATTAAGTTCTTCATAGGGCTTTAAAGCAGCTTTAAAGCTATAAAGCTGCTTCAGAAACATACTAAAATCATAGCTGAAAAACTATTTGACTGGTATATGTAACATTTTGCTCATAATAAACATGAACTGTGGAGGTGAAGTCAAGTAAATATGCAGTATTCTTGCTAGAATTTCAAAAGTCCTCCTATATTTCCCCATATTTGAGACTACTCTTAAATGCTCTGGTTCATTCCTTATATGACTTTGGCACTTCAGCTAACTCATAAATCCATATTCTGGTACTCTTCTGCTATTTTTTTCAGTGTACTAAGCTACTCAAAAAGAAATTCAAAGCAAAAATTCTAAAATGAAATAGCAACACTGGCATCCTCTCTAAATATAAATAAATAAAGTGCCTTCAAGTGATTAATATTTTTTTAATGTCCCAAATATAGTAATTTCTATTTCATAGAGCTAAATAATTGTTTATTAATGTGATAAAATATAACAACTATGATATCTAAATTGATCTTTGCCAACAAACACATAACTTGCTCATTGGCAAGAGTATCAAAACATATTCATATATTTCTCAACTTCAGCTTTTACAATATCATTTTTTTTAATCAACAAACAAAAATTCAAGTCACACAGAAGTCTACAAAAGTGTTCATGGATGTAAGACATAAAGCAATATGAAAATGTCATAAAATAAGATGGCATCAGTTAATACTAGAAACACTATGAGGTATGGGCAGGGTACTCTAGGTGGTTTTAATAGGTTTTTTTGAGGAAAAACTTCACCTGATGCTCTAAGTTGACCAAGCAAGTGAGTTCTCATGCCTATGATTATTTCCATGGTAGCTTGTGAAAGAAAGTTCTTTTCACAAAAGGCTCGCTCCCATCCATCACTTCGTGCTTTCTGCCATGCCTATAAAAATATAAATAACAAGATATATTCACCAGGTGGAGAAAGACAAATACCATATGATTTCACTTATTTGTGGAATATAAAGACAAAGCAAAACAGCAGTAGACTCACAGACACTGAGAAGAAACTAGTAATTTCTAAGGGGGAGGAGTTGGGGCAGCTGGGGGGTGAGAGGGAGGGGAATAAAGGGGCACAATAATTCATAATCACAATATAAGTTAATCACAGGGACAGCAGTACAGTATGGAGAATACAGCCAATGATCCTGTAACATCTTTCTACACTGACAGATAGTAACTGCACTAGTGGGGGTGAGGATTTAATAATATGGGTAACTGATGAACCACTGTGTTGTCATTTGAAACCAACATAAGATTGCATATCAACAATATGTCAATTATAAAAAAGATGCATTCACCAATCACTTCTTAGTTAGGCTGCAAAGTAACTGAAAACCACTACATTAACCACTCAAGGTCAATTCTCCTAAGACTTTTTTTTTTTTATTATGTAAGGTTTTTCTTGTATTTAAAAGATCATTCACAAAATATCATATCCATAGATTAACTTTCTGCATATAGTTGAATGTGTTAAGTGTTTGGAATTCCATTCTTACATTTAAAAGTCAACTGGATTGCCCAGAAGTTTAGATGAATCTGTTTTGTTCTTAATCTTTTCCACATTGAAGATGTAAGTAGGTCATCTGAAAGTATCAGGTTTGATTACAATCACATAATGCATGTCTTTCTTACGTATTGGTGTTACACAAATGGTTCTTATTTCAGAAGCAAAGATGGCAGGTGGAAGGAAGGAAAGGAGGGGAGAGTTCTGTAAATTGCTGAGACTGTGTGACAACGACAGAATAAGAGAACCCAAGGACGCCAGCTAGCAACAAACCACTACCTCAGCACACTGCTCGGCGCATGTGGCCCCTCGCAGCCCTCCAGTCACGACACTGAGGGCCTCTGGCTTCAGAAGCTCCTACCGGCCTCCCAATCCCAGGCAAGTGCTGAGCATTGGACATGGGGACAAGAAACGGCCCACAGAGACCTAGTAACTGAGAACCACCTACCAGTTATTTTAAAGTTCCTGACAACTCTGCATAGCAAAACTCTCAATTCATCAAGCGCAACAGAGTGCCACACTCTAGGTCCATTTTAATAAAATTAAAGGATGGTGCGAAGCACAGTAGCTCACTGTCACTTCTACAAGGGAACAGAAAAGACACAAGGGAGAGATGCAGAATACACAGATGCCGGGGATGGGAAGAAAGCAATGTCTGCACTAGAAAGTTAGCTGAGCACAGCTCTGCCACCACGACCTTTTAGTCCCCCAAACCGACCTGCCCAGTGGCGAGGAAAGCAGACAGCAGTTCGCCACATCTTGCCAGAGGAGTCTCTAACACCGCCAGGGAAAGGAGGGGCTAGTCTGGACACAGTGGGGAAAGAGCAATAACCAGGTGTGTGAACCCAACAGTAATCCAACTTCGGCCCCCTCACACCATTTCACGTAGCTCTTCCCCATTCGTTTCCCTGTCAGACTGAGAGCCCGTTCTGCTGGGGCAACCCATGTGGGGATGGGATAACAGACAGGACTGCCTATAAATAGGGACAAGAAGAAATTTGCAAGGTATCACCAGCATAGTTTATCCTTGTTTTCAAAACAAGGTGCCTCAGATTCTTTATGTTGATCATGGCTGAAAGAAAACAAGATGCTATCCAATCTGTGGCCTCTTCTCATTTCTCCTTGGAAGCCACAGCAATACAGAACTCAACATGCAGGTCAGAAGAGAAGCACTGAGCAAAATCAAACGGAAAGACTGGAGTCTGGCCAATGTGTCTAAAGTAAAAAGAGAAAGCAAAGGAGAAAAATGAAGCAGCACCTCAATGCAAACACTCCCACATGGCGGCTGCCTCTCCCTCTGCAGACACTCATGTGCTGGAAGGCAAGGGGACTAAAGGAAATTGGGGAAGGAGTGGCAGCAAAAAAGCACACAAAAACAAAAAGCACAAGCAAGCACTAGAGACAGAGAGGGCAAAGCCAAGAATGTACTAAAAACCACTTGTTAACTGCTGACATGCACTCACAGGCTGTTTCCGTTGTAAGAAAGGACAAAGGTCAGGCGCAGGAATGGTAACTGCAGGACTGCTGGTCCGGGGGCCAGCCAGGCTGTGGTCTTGCTCTAACTCCCCCCACTCCCATTCCCTCCCTGTCGCAGCTCATTCTTGCTCCTTGTGGACGACTTCCTCTCTGGGCCTGGCTCCTCCAAAGATAGCAGAATTGGGATTGGCTACTTGATTAAGGGGCATTGCAACTGTTCGAGGTTTAAGCTGGAGCCTCGGTCTCTGTGCTCTTTCCTCTTCTGTCAGTTCTCTGAAATCCATGCTGGACCCTCGAAGGGGAGGGCCATCTCTGAAACGACTCCCCATTGGGGGGCCCATTCGCCGGTCACCTGGACGACTCCCTCCCCTGCCTCCTAGGAAATCATTCCTAAAGGCTCTGTCATCTGGTCCACCTTTCCTGAATCCAAAATCACCTTTATCTTGTTTTCTGCCTTCTGCGATGTTCACACGAAGTGACCGATCTCCCAACAGTGCACCATCGTATGTCAAGGCTTCCTTAAGGGAATCCACCTCATCAAATTCTACATAGCAGAATCCTTTAAATTTGTCTGTGTCCTTGTCTCTGACTAGCCGTACACTCCTTATGCTGAGATTCTTAAAGATAGCATCTATGTCGCCCTGAACCGTGTTAAAAGGCAGATTTCCTACATAGGCTGTGTAGGGGGGCTCTGTGGACAGCTCCTTCTGGCTACGGGAACCATGGCCACCAGCATTGCCATGGGACCCTCTACCGCCGCCAAAGCTGCTATAGGCCCGATCGTCGTAGGTATCGAAGTCCACCATTTGCCGCCTCTGCTCCGAGAGGAACCCATAAGACTTTATTTATTTATTTATTTATTTTTTGTTTATCACAGCATTTTTTTTTTTTTGAGAGGGCATCTCTCATATTTATTGATCAAATGGTTGTTAACAACAATAAAATTCAGTATAGGGGGGTCAATGCTCAATGCACAATCATTAATCATCTCAAGCCTAATTCTCGTCAGTCTCCAATCTTCTGAAGCATAACGAACAAGTTAAGACTTTATTTTTAAAAAAACAACTATAATAGATGCAGAAAACAGATTGATTGCCACAGGCAAGGAGTTGCATGTGTGAAATAGGTGATGGTGATCAAAAAACACAACTTCCAGTTATAAAATATATAAGTCCTGGGAATATAATGTACAGCATGGTGACTACAGTTAATAACACTGTATTATGTATTTGAAAGTTGCTAAGAAAGTAGATCTTTTTTTTTTAAGCAAACTTTTTCTTTGGAGATATAACTGACATATAACATTAGTTTCAGATGCACAACACAGTGATTCAATATTTGTACACACTGCAAAATGATCACCTCAAAAAAGTCTAGTTAACAGACTAAACAGCAGATCATAAAAGTTCTCGGGGCAGAGTTGAAAGGCAAGGATGAACCTCCTCCCAAAAACACATAAAACACGAAAATACAGCAAATAAAGCTAAGCCTGAAAACGACCTGAAGACTGTAGAACAGACTACCTACCTCTAGGGAAAAAGAGACAACTACACAGAAAAGGGTAAAAGTGGCAGAGCCCCGATCAAGCCGAACCCAAGTCCTCTCCCAACCTCAGACCACAGGCAGTACAAAGAGAAATGGAGCATGGAGGGGGCAGAAGCCCAAGACCACAAACACCTGGCCCTGGAGATCTGCTCCAGGAGCATAAGCCCTCATTAAATGGTGTTCTGGTGATTAGCGGGGCTGGACAACAGACAAGTGGAACATTCAAGGAGGCTGAGATCCCACCCACTTGTGATCAACAGGCATGCTCCACCAGTACCCACGAGAAAAAGCAAAGCAGGCCGTATGAAAGACTTCCCAACAGCAGGAGGGGTGCCAGAGGGGAGAGTGTCTGATGGAGCTCTCTTCGCAGGAGAAAGGGCAGATGGAAGATACCTCCCCAGCCTGACCTCAGCCCAACAGGTTGGGAACTTTTGGGAGCCCCAGACACTCTATCCCCCTTGCTGCCAATGCAGCTCTGAGGCTCCTCGCTGTGTGCATGGACAGCAGACAACCCACTTGGCATGGCAGTAGTGTCAGATGTTGCTGACAAGTAGGCAGAAGGAGACGCTCTCAGCACTCGGCACTGTTTCAGCCCCACTGGGGAGGTGCCCACAGGAACCAGTCCCAAGAGCTCCTTCCTCCTTCCAGGTGTCCACGTCTGGTGCTCTATACAAAGCAGCACATCAGCCTTCCCACCCCATTATCCCTTCAGCCCTGCCATTGCTGCAAACCAGGCAGAGCGCAGCCCTGTACACACAGAAAGCCCAACAGAGACCTTTGTGCTAATTACAAAGGCATGGCCAAAGCAAACTGCTCACCTAGAATCAGACCACAACAAGCCACACAGAAGGGCAGCCACCCAGTGCATGCCAACAGATGGGGCTCCCTCACTGGAAAGTAAAGAGCCTTGAGCTTCTGGGTACTAGAGGGCATCTCCTTCATAAAGGTATTACTCAATAGGTCAGAAAGCAGAAGAGACATCTAATACAAAAGAAGAAACAGAAACCCTGACAAAATGAGGCAGCAGAGGAATATGTTCCAAACAAAACTACAAGACAAAACACCATAAAGAGGGCTAAATGAAACAAGAAATCATCAATCTTCTTGAAAAAGATTTCAAAGTAAAAGTCATAAACATGCTCACAGATCTACAAAAATATTCAAGATCTCAGGGAGGACTTCAACAAAAAGACAGAAGACCTTCAGAGCTGAAGAATACAGTATCTGAAATGAAACATATAATGGAGGGATTTAAGAGTAGATTATTACAGGTTGAAGAAGCTGTAATGAAATGGAAATTAGGGAACAAGAAAACAATGAAGCTGAAAAACAGAAAAAATGATCTCTAGGAATGAAAGACTAATAAGAGAACTGTGTGACCAATACAAATCGAACAATATTCGCACAATACGGATACCAGATGGAGAGAGGGAGACTGTGTTATGAGTTATAAGAAATACATATTTGGTCATTAATATGACCAAATATATATTTCCCAGGTATATTTGGTTTTCATCCACAGTTCCTAAAAACACTGCAGACTTAAAGGTGAAATGAGGGTTTGTCATGTTAATGAGAGACTTTTGGACCCCCTCCCAAGGGCTGGAGGCTGAAAGAACCAGTGGCCAATAATTCAATCATGACTATGCAATGAAGATCTCACAAAAAACCCTGAGAAGAGCTGTCTCTCTCCGCTGTGCTCTGCTCTGCATTGCTCAGTTGATGCTGCTTCTCACTTGTTGAGAGCTTCTATGCTTGGGGAACCATAATGAGTCCATGTTCCACAGAGCCAGGCCCCAAGCTCCACAAGTACCGAAGCTCCTATATTTGGGACCTTGTCCTGTATATCTCTTCATCTGGCTGTTAATTTATATCCTTTATTAAACTGGCAAATGTAAGAGCTTTCCTCAGTTCTGTGAGGTGCTCTATCAAATTAATTGAACCTAAAAGGGAGGTCATGGGAACCTCCAATCTATAGCCAGTAGGTCAGAAGCACAGGTAACTGCCTGGGGCTTGTAACTCGTGTATGGAGTT